CAGGATCTTAGCTCGGTCATTCTCCATCACCCTTGGGGGCATCTCCCATTTTGACCTCGGGACATTTTCTTCCCACAGAAAGTTGACTTAGTAAATCTGTAGAAACTTTTTTACACTGTCATAATTTATGACTTTAAGCTGGGTGTATATAATAATGAAATCATATAAAATCACAGGGGGACCCTTCGGTGTGTAGTGCAGAGTACCATCAGTGGGTGGCAGTGCACAGCAGCACATGAAGGACTCGCCACATGACCACTGTGTATCCATGCCATCTAAAAATCACTTCCACTCGCATACTGATGTGGCCTAAAGCTACATTTGATTATCAAAGTGTTGTATACATGCTCAGAAACGATCTCAGATGTTTCCAGGTAACAGGCCACATATAATAATGTTTCCACTGCAGATGTAAGGTAAGATTCATATTAGCATCATATTATGGTAATACTATCCTAATATGTTAAAACATTAACCCATATTACCTTATTGTTATGAGGTTATAACCACTTTAAAGTCAGTATATAAAAATTCAAATGCACATTGCTAGCATCATTTTGTCCTCGATATACTGCTGTACTAACTGGCATTGTTTTATTGGCATATGTTGTTTCTACATTTCCCACTATTCCCATTTTCTGGTCTCTTATCACCCAATTAGTCTAATATTGGTTTTTGTCAAACAATTGTGATTCATGATATGACCTTGATATTACTTTAGTAATTAGTAATAACGTCCTCTTTCTGTGTTATTACCGGGTTCCTTCCACCTCATTACCCCACTATTGCATCATTATTACCAGCCTGTAGTAAAAAGTGCAACTAAACACCACCATCAGAGCTGATGATATCTTGTCTGCACAGAAATACCTGTTCTGATACAGGCTTTAAATAAACAGCCTGTGACTTCCTCCTGCTGATATCACAGGACTTTCATCTGCTATTGTTTAACAATTAGATTGCAGCACAGAACTTCCGAGCTGGAATTTTTCACTGTTACAAACTAGGAAACAAAATAAAAGGAGGAATGCAGCGCCATGTGTTAAATATGAAAAAAATTCAACAGCACATAACTGTTTAGACCTGCAACAGGTACTCATTTTATTTAAATGTATGTATAAAATCACAAAAACATAAATTATGCTTTTTCTTTGCCACAACACTAGATGCAAAAACCAAAATCTGATATTTACAAAGTATAAATAAATATTATACAGGCTCTTAGTTTGTTTTCTGTAGCTGGCATCAGCGGCCTGTTTAAAAAGCTCCAATGATCTTCTATTTCTGCAGCTGTGAGCTGCGCTGGTGGATCTTCTGCGCTTTATTCCTAAAATGATGATAGATGGAGTTACTTCTCTTGCTGTTTATTAGAAAATCAGAACACTTGCTCTTTATTCTGTTTC